ACGTAAATAGTCTAGAAGATGGTGGCTTTTGGCTGTGGTAATCGACGGGAAGTGTTGAAGGATCTCGATGGGGCAGTTGTTACTTCAATTGGTACAATCCTCTTCTCGTTTCTTTTATTTTGATTGTAAATCAATTAGGTGAGTGTTTGGGTGATCGATGTTCAACGGGTGAGTAGATGGGGGAAAAGGATTTGTTCAGGTTTGGTGAATATACTATGTAATATTCATAAGTGAATGCATCGTCTAATATTTAAATATTAATATACTATGTTTATTATATGTTATATTCATATATGAATGATACTTAAATTGTAAAAAAAAAAAAAAAAAAAATTAATCATAGTTTTTATTCATAACTGAATAACGAATGTACTGTAGTAAAAACTTGATTTATTTTTATTCACTTATGATTAACGATAACTGAAAATAATTTAAAAAAAATTTAATTTTATCTTAAAACTATATCAATATGGATGTCTATTTGTAGAGAATAAAAAATCATGAATTTTGGTATATTTAAAATCATTTTTCGATAAAAATAGCTTCTTAAAAATAAAAAAAAAACGAAAAAAATATGTTTTTGTATATATTAAGGTAATGATTAACATAGTTTAAGAAAACATGTTTTGTTGGAAAACACATGTCTATTTATTTCCCATTTCTGCTGGTACGACGGAGGCTTTTGTGACAAAAATAAATGAATGATTGATAATGATTCTCCCATTCTCAACATTTTTTTTTTCTCAATTGAACCCTCCTATACATACATATATATATATATATATATATATATATATATATATATATATATCATACATACTTATAAAGCTAACATTTTTTCTTGAATCTCATGCATTTGAAACCCTCATTCTTTTTTCCTTTCACCACATTAATTTAAAACTCCCATGACTTTTCAATTTCTGTATAATAATAATTATAATTTGGTAACTAGGTTAAATAAATATCAAATATAAAGTGTATTCATATATAAACTAAATTTCAATATTAAAATAATATCTTTAATTCTACTTATAAAATCATATTTTTTAACTTTTAACATATTATACTTAATTTATTAGTTTTAATATATTGTTGGATGTAAACCATTATCATTTTAAAGGTATAATTTTTGAGCAATTTGTATAAAATAGTTAAATTATTAATTAAAAATATAACATTGTATGCTCAATTTAAACATAAATTTTATTTAACTTAAACAACCCAAAGATTATTTTATGAATAGTTAAAAGTGATAAATTGTAGTGTCTTTCTAATAAAGATTGTAAGTTGCTTAATAAGGTAAAATAAATATCAAACCTAAAGTGTAATCATAAATAGACTAAATTTCAATTTTAAAATAATATATTTACTTCTATTTATAAAGTTATATCTTTAAATTTTAACACATTATACTACCATTTGGTTGCATGTAGCCATTATCAGTTTAAAGCTACAATTTTTGAACAGTTTGAACAAAATACTTAAATTGTTAATTTAAATATAACATTACAGTGTCAACTTAAATATAAATTTCAGTTCCACTAAGAAAACCAAACAATATTTTGTAAATAGATAAAAGTGATAAATTATAGTTATTAATGCAAAAACTAAACTGTAATATCAGTTTAACTAAAATATTTCCTAAATATATTTATATAATTGTTAAAATTTTTAAAATAAGTAGCTTAAAATAACTTATAATAACAATAGTTAAAAATAACTCTATATAAATGATTATATTGTTACCTTTAAAATCAAAAAATAATGTTTGATGTTTTAAATAATTATAATGGTAGAAATTAAAACATTAAGCAAATAAATCTTAAAAAATTAGTTAAAAATAACAACTATAAATAATATTAAACCACATATAATATTTAATTTTATTGATGTGTAACTTGCGAGTAGAAGTCATTTAAACGATCGAGATTATGATGTTATAATAGATTTATATATTATCATATAATTCAAAATAATCAATATATTATATCAAATTAATATGCGAATTATTATATCAGATTTAACAACAACGTTAGTATTATATTTTAAAAAATATATATTTGTACAGACTTCAACTATATAGGTGTTTCTGCGCGTTACAATGTCAACTCAAATATAAATTTCAGTTCCATTTAAAAAAACTAAAGGATATTTTGTAAATAGTTAAAAGTGATAAATCGTAGTGATAAAAGCAAAAACTAAATTGTAATCTCAATTTAACTAAAATATTTCTTAAAAATATTTTTATAATCGTTAAGAGTTTCCAAATAAGTAGCTTAAAAATAACTTACAATAACAATAGTTAAAAACAACTTTATATAAATGATTATATTGTTAACTTTAAAATAAAAAAACAATGTTTGATGTTTTAAATAATTATACTAGAAATTAAAGCATTAAGCAAATAAATTTTAAAAAATTAATTAACAATAAAAACAACTATAAATAACATCAAATCATATATTATATTTAATTTTATTCATGTGTAACTCGCGGGTAGAAGTCATTCAAACGATTGAGATTATGAAGTTATAATAAATATATATTATCATATAATTCAAAATAAACAATATATTATATCAATTTAGTATATACAAATTATTATATCAAATTTAACAACAACATTATTGTTATATTTAAAAAATCATATATTTGTAAAGACTTCAACTATATAGGTGTTTCTGCGCAACGCGCGGACATTCACCTAGTGTGTATATATATATATATATATATATATATATATATATATATATTGCACGTAACATTTACAAATGTTTAGGAGTTTTTAGCTTTTAGTGTTTGACAAAACACTTTATTTTGAATAAAAAGTCTTGCTTGACATTATAAGCTTCTAATGTTTAGTTTAAATAAAACGTTCTAAATCCAAAAGTTACCTCATGTAACGTTTAACACTACCAGTTAGTTTTGTTGAACATACTTTTATTTATCCTTACACTCATAAGATCAAAGATAAATTCAAAATAATTAGTTTTTATTTTTCAAATTTTATAGGTAAAAATGATGTTTTTGTAGATAATATATTCAAAATTTTAAAACTTTTTAAAATGATGTAGTTTTGGTGGCTATTTTGGTAAATTTTTATATTTATAACATGACTTATCTTTTTCTCTTTATTTATCTAATATAGGTTCAATTGTGTGTGTTTGAAATTTTACTTTAGGACATGTTAGTTTTGAAAGTTGTATGATGTAAAGCGAAAAAATAAAAGATTTGCTTTCACTAAAAATGTAGAGGTCTATATTTAATATAATGTCATTACAACAAATTCACCTATAGTATGGCGCTTGTATACCATGATACAAAATGTTGAAGCTATTCTTCGAGACTGTCAAACCTTGCTATGTTCGGATGTTACCTTCAGCGTATCAAGAAAACACAAAAGCAAAACACACATAACAAGAGGTCTCAGCTGAAATTAATGAGTCTAATTCTTATGACATAAATGTTGTATTTGTAAACAAATAAATGTAATTGATATTATAGGCATACGTGATTAACAAAAACTAATCACAAACATTAGTCAACTTGGATTTGTGTATGTTTAAAAATTGAATTTGCAAAAACACCCTTGAAAGTATTTGGCTAATCAAGGGTGCATTCCTGTCAGTAGTTCGTGTTCACACATAAATTTATCGTTTTGAAGCCATTTTGATTCACATTTACGCAAAAGAAAAAATAGCATTGACAATACAAGTCCTACAATACTAAAGAGTCTTTCTATGAATATCTCCCGTCCTATTCATTTCCCAATCTATGTGGGATAACATACAACTCAATAAACCTCATTGACCAATTCATCTAACTATCTCGTTTTAATAATTAATTTCTCATTATCTACAATCCATTTTGGACGTATAATATACCAAAACGGAGGTGTCACGAATGACAACACAAATATATAACTATTTATCCATTTTAATAATGTAGTAGGTACTTAATTTATGTTAAAAAAACAAAAAAAAACCCTATTTTTATAACACTTTATCTACATAAAACTTATCATCAAAAACATTTCAAGATAACTTTTATAATTTTATAAACAACAATTTCTTATTTTTAACTTTTTATAAAACCATCTCCAATGGTTAACATCTCAAAAGTTTTTTACTATTGCCATATTATATTTGCATTAACTTTTATTTGATAAAGACTTTTGAGAAATTAAAAATTATCCTATATTTTATTCTTACTATCTTCTTACCCATATTAAATGCTGATAAGTGGATTAAAAAATTATTAATTTTATTAAATGTGTAATTAAATATGACACGTGTGAACATTTGATAAGGTAGGAAGATAAATAAGAATAAAATATAGGATAATATTTAATTTTCTCAAAACTTTTATCAAATAGCTTCTCTCATAGTTAAATCTTTCAAAGAGTGTTTTTTTTTTTTTTTTAATATTAATTAATTTATCTGTTATCTATCTTAGTACTTATTAGACCATTCATACCATTTATCATTTTACTAACATTTGTTGAGTATTGTTTTTTGAAACTATAAAGATGAAACTTTTTTCACATATATAGTTAAAAAAAAATTATGATTTTTTTTTAACCGCAATGTTTTTATAATATTTGATATTTTTAAAATTTTAAAGTTTTTAACAACTATTTTTAAGTATATAAAATATATATTTTTATTTTGTTTGTTAAATCATTTAATTATCTAAATATAAAACCTAAGAAATATCTAATATCAAAATATATTTTGGTGATATAAAATAAAATGTTACTAACTACAAGGGTTAAATATGACAAATCTTAAAAAAAAATAAAAATATTTATCAAAATAAGTGTTTGAAGCAACTTCTAAAATAAGTCTTATTTTAGAATAAACAATTTCTAACAACGATATTAAGTGATGTCTTATTTTCTTAAAGTTAATGGTTCAAAACTATAAAACAGAGGTCAAATTAGATGTATTTTAGAAATAAAGTCCGATTTTCTGTTTAAAAAAATGCTTTTACAAAAGTTTCTTAAATAGTAAAAAACTTTAAAAAAGCTACCATTAAAGTCAAGGAAAACAATAAGATAAATACGTTTACTTTATAATTTTGTATAATTTCTTGTTACAATACAGAATAAAAAAGATGAATTAAAAACACTTTTATTGTTGTTTTGTAGCCATAGATTGAATACAAGAAACAAGTTTTTTTGGTTTCATTTTCCAACACATCGGAGCTTACCAATAAAATATGTGGGCGTCTCTCTTATTGAGCTGTTGAGTGCCCTCAGTTTACAAATCACAACTGTCTGAGAATAGCAGGAGGAGAGAGAGAGAGAGAGAGAGAGAGAGAGAGAGAGAGAGAGAATGGGGTGGTTTCCATGCTCTGGACATTCAAAGCCAACATCAAAGAAGAAGAAGAGGAAGAAGAATCGCTCACTCGATCCGATTCAACCCTCCTCAGGTACTCCATCTATATCTGCTTCTTCTTCAAGTTTTCGTTTCCCCTTTTTTGCCGGAAAATCGCAAGAAAATTCGATGTAATATCATTATTTGAATCATCTTCTGATGATTTTACTGTAACCATTTCATATAAGTTGTTAATTTCTCTGATTTTTTGGAGTTTAAAGAAGATTATACCTACCGATTCTACCTGCTTCTCTTGCTTTTCATTGTTGTGTTATTAGGTTTTCCTTGAGAATAATTAATTCGAATATTGTACGCCTTCTTATAGACGTAATCTTGTTCCTTTTCTTCTTCTTTTGACTTCAAATTCATTCCATTTTGTGTGCGTTCAAGTGATTAAATAATGATGCAAGAATTGAGAAACCTTCAGCTATGTTTTATAACTCTATTACATATCGGTTCAATTCCTAAACTGAATGCTGTTCTCTTGAGCTATATGCATAATATTTTGCCTCAAGCAGTTTCGTATTTCATACGTGTTTGATTGTTTATTGTTCTTTGTTTCTCACATACACATCTTTAAGTGAGCATTAGGTCAAATCCATCATTCAAATCAAAGGAAGGAGCGATCAAAGATGGGGGATCAGGTCATATTGCCGCTCAAACATTCACATTCCGTGAACTGGCAGCTGCAACTAAAAATTTCAGGGGTGGTGATTGTCTTCTCGGAGAAGGAGGCTTTGGTAGAGTATACAAAGGCCGACTTGAAAGTTCTAATCAAGTCAGTTCAATTTCATTACACATGAAAAAGATTGCATTTTCACTTTGATTCCAAATCTGTATTCATAGTTTTCCATTTTTTGTAGATTGTAGCCATCAAGCAACTAGATCGCAATGGACTTCAAGGAAACCGTGAATTCCTAGTAGAAGTGTTGATGTTAGGGTTGCTTCATCACCCAAATCTTGTGAACCTAATCGGTTATTGTGCTGATGGAGATCAACGACTACTGGTTTATGAATACATGCCTCTTGGATCTCTTGATGACCATCTCCATGGTACAGACATTAAATTAAAAGACGAAAATACCCTTTGGTTTCCAATGATGATGGACTCATAATTCCTGTGTTGTTGCAGATCCGTTACCTGGCAAGAAACGAGTGGATTGGAATACAAGAATGAAAATTGCTGCTGGAGCTGCGAAAGGGCTGGAATATCTTCATGATAAAGCAAGTCCACCTGTAATATATCGGGATTTAAAATGCTCAAATATATTACTTGGGGAAAATTATCACCCAAAACTTTCTGATTTTGGGTTAGCAAAACTTGGGCCAGTGGGGGACAACACACACGTGTCGACACGTGTGATGGGTACATATGGATACTGTGCTCCGGAATACGCGATGACTGGACAATTAACCCTAAAATCAGACGTGTACAGCTTTGGTGTTGTCCTTTTGGAGATCATCACAGGCCGAAAAGCAATTGATAATTCCAAAACAGGAGGCGAGCAGAATTTGGTTGCATGGGTAAGTCATTAGTCATTAGTCATTAGTCATTATTCATCCCAATTCCCAAACAAATCATTTTTTTCTGTTGAAAACACGGTAGGCCAATGTATATTAATTTTGGGAATGCTAATAATTTAATGTGCTGATATTGTTGTCTCATGTCTCTCCATCATGTTACTTAAAGTCTCATGTCACATCACATCAAAAACATGTAAAAACTAAAAAGTAAAATTGTAAATCTAATCTTTTTTATTTTTATTTATTTAGGCAAGACCTTTGTTTAAAGACCGAAGAAAGTTTTGTCAGATAGCGGATCCATCACTTGAGGGCCAGTACCCAACACGGGGTCTGTTTCAGGCTCTTGCGGTTGCAGCCATGTGTGTCCAGGATCAACCCAACATGCGACCCGTTATAGCCGATGTCGTTACAGCCTTGACCTATCTTGCTTCACAGAAATACGACCCGATTTCAAACCCGAACCCGAACCCGAACCCAAACCCACGGTGGTCGCCTTCCACTCCTCCAAGATCAAAACGTGACAATCATAAAAAACAGGGCGGCAGTAGCGGCGGCAGCAGCGGCAGTGTGAGCACCAGTGGATCTGAGAAAAATCACACCAAAAATTTCTTTTAAGGTTTTGGAGTTTCATCATCATATCATATGTATGTTGAGTCCTGCTTTATCATCTTGCTGTACAGTAGTTATATAATTATGTTAGATACGTGTATATTTATATATTTATTAATTTTATGTAGACAAACAGCATCTGTTTGATTTATATGTCATAAAGGTTTGTAGTAGTGGACACTGGACAGGTATATCTATTTTCTACTGGATTATCAGTTGTTACTATGTTTTTATTTTTCGGTTGTATGTGTTGATAAATGGTTTTACTTATAGGCATGTTTATATTATTCTTAAGTTGTGTTGCTTTTGTTCGGTTTTGATCAGATTTACGAATATATGTAATTGATATGAATATGATTGTAGAAAAACAAGGTTGATCTTTTTGTTTTAGTTTATATTTAAGGAAGGGTCAGACTAGTTCCTAAATTTTCTATTTTTCTCATCCCTAATTTTATACTGACCAGATGTTTACCCAAATGCTGTGTGAAAATATTAATACACGTGTTTTGATTAGAGGTGCACAATGCTTATCGTTTTCTTTAACTATCCCCATAAAATTGGGCCGGTTTTTTTATACCCGTTTTTTCTTTTCTCTTTTATTTTTTTAAACCAAAAAATACCAAATAAACTAGTTTTTCTAGAGAAATTATTCTTCTACTTTTTGTTTCTACAAATCATTCTATCCATTTAAATGATGATATTTGTCATATTAGTATCCAAAAATATCATTAAATTTCATTAAATGAACATTAAATATTACATATATCATCATTTAATTAGGTAGGATGATATATATAAAAACAAAATGTAAGAGGATATTTAATTTCTCTTTTTTCCAATATAATTTCATTTAAAGAAAAAAACACCAAACCGATTATAACCAAAATCGGTATAGAGAAAATTAGATTTTTTAAAATCAAAACCGGTGTAAAACTTGTATTTGTGCACCTAGTTTTGATAGAAATAAATAACCAAATCGACGTCAATACTTTATTATTATTATTTTAATAACAAAGATTTTATTTCGTGTTTCTTTTAGGTAAAAAAGTTAATATGTCGTTTATGGAAAAGCCGTGTCAACTTTATACTATTTTATAAGTTTTTTCTGTCCATCGTTTTCCCACTTCCATCCAATATGGATTTAAAAAAAATAAGTTTAAAGATCTTTAAATAAATTTTAAATCCGAAATTGAAAAAAAAACAGATAAACAACTATTGAGGTCCCCCGATTTTTTTGACACCAGTAGTGATAGTTAAGTGGTAACGCGCAAACGTTTTATTCATTTTAATATCATGAATTTTAGAATTTACATTTTGACCCCTTAAGTTTCAATTGTTAAACCACCGACCCCGGCCCAAGGTGAGAGGATATAGTAGCTAAAGGGGTAAACGATCCCAAATTAGGGCACATAAATCATCTCATCATCTCTCTTCTTTCACGGAAATCGAATCGTTTGGACCTCTTCACTCGTCACTCATCGCTCATCAGCTCAATGACGACGCCTGCAGCGAATGCGACGACGACGACGACCCAGACCGACGACCATCATGCGAAGACCCTAGACCCTCCTGCCACAACAACCGAAGACGTATCCACCGAGAAATCACCAGCTTCCTCCACCGACAGGAAAGACGGTGATTCCGGTGACACAAAGTTGAAAACTACAGATCCGGCCACCGTCACGGCGGACAACAGCAGCGACGATGGTGCTTCTGTTACCGATACTCAGAGGAAGATTCGCCGTGCGGAGCGTTTTGGTATGCCAGTTCAACTATCTGAAGAAGAAAAACGGAATTCTCGTGCGGAGAGGTAATTATACTATAGCAATATTTATTCCTCTTCCTGTATTTATGCATGTTTCTCATGTAAAGGTCTGTTTATGATAATCTAGGGTTCTGGAATTTTCTTAAGAAGGAGTCTATATACTAAACTAGGGTTTTGGCTTTTCATATTCACCAATTTTTATCATGTAATTTGTTTTAACTTAGGGGCTTCAATCACTGCTCTTACGCGCCGTGGCCACTCTCATGCTTTGTGGTGCCCTTTTTCAACCGTTTCAGTTCATGGTTTCTTGTTTTTATGGGTGTTTAGTGATTATAATAATGAAGAGAGTAGGGCTAGGGTTTAGCTTTCGTACGATATTGATAGAATAGAAGCAGTGGGGATTCGCTGGAGAATGGTCTCAACTCCATCTGTAGCATACCAAGACATATACAAACCCCTTAGTCTACTGTCTAACTAAATGGCCAATTTACGCATTTTCATTTATTAGCATCCAAGTATACCCCTTAGACCCAAGAACCCCTAACCCAAAAAACTTAGTTTTGGCGCCCAGAGGTCGCTGTTTTGTATTCCTCTTAAGTCTTAATCTCTTATATTCCCCTTCTTTCTTTCAATTCGCCCTTGAACATGTTTTAAGTCATGAATTTGATATAGAAGAGCATATACCGTCATCCTATCTTCATATAACATATCTCAACCTTTTTCACGATAGTTAACCACTTGTTATCATCCTCACATGATCACTCCTTTAAAAAAACAAGTCTTAGTAATCAAGACAGTCACAAGGTTAGTGATTAATTTCCCTTCAAGACTATGCCAACTTGACAATGGCAACTTCATTTGTCTATTTTTCATAATTGCTGCATGCTGTGTTTTGGTCAAGATAACCCCTTTTATTGAAATTCCATAATTCATTCATTCCCTATAACCTCACAAATGAATCTCTTCTTTTTCCCTTAAATTTTCCATAATTAAAGTCAACCCCAGTCAGTTTCTCATGATAGCAACCAGCTTTTTGGCGAAAATATGTGTCATTTTGTTGAAAAATCTAGAATTGTTGAAATATGTCGCCTGAAAAAGCAATCACACAAATATGATACCTCATTTGATAAACGTTTTGTTTAGTCAATCAGAAGGCTGCTTGTTGAGTTTATATATATATATATATATATATATATATATATATATATATATATATATAATATATATATATATATATAACACTTTGTACTTCAGGTTTGGTACTCCACCTGGCACACAAGGTTCAGGAGCCACAAAGAAAGCTGAAGAGCTGAAAAGGAAAGCTAGAGCGGAGAGGTTGTTATGACTTATGAGCACATCATCAAATAATAATAATAATAATGATTTATATTTTTTTGATTTTTAATCATCAAATTATTCTATGTTCTCAGATTTGGGATGACCCAAGCCACTGAAGAAGATGTGAAAAAGAAGGCTAGACTTTCTAGGTTTGGTTCAGCTTCAAGTGCTGATCCTCTTGAAGAACAGAAAAAGAAAGCAAGGGCACTCAGGTAATTTACTTCCTTTATTAACATAGATTATATATATATTTTTTTGTTGGCAGTTTTGTTTAATACTATGAAGTTTTGTTCTTGTACAGGTTCTCAGGGGCACAGAAGGCAACTGTTGCTGGCAAGGCTGGTGGAGAAGCTTGATGTCTGCCTGCTTGCTTGCACTTTTTTATTTTTCAGTGAGACCCTTATTCACTTGAGTTTAACTTTTTTTTTTTTTTTTTTTTTTTTTTTTTTTTTTCTTGTGCCTTTAATGTAACTCTTTTTTTTTTTTTTAAATGCAGGTTAGAATTGTGAAATCTTTTGATCCCCAAACAACCCTTTTGTTGATTATGGAGTTACAGTAATAGTTCCTCTTCCTCTGGTATTGGTAAAACTGGTGTCCCCCCTTGTTAATTGATAGCAATCTCCTCAGTCAGTGTCTTTAAATTTAAAAAAAAAAAATATATACAAGGTATTATAGATATGAAATAGTGTGTGAATGAGGTTAGATTTTAGGAGAATATGATTTAAAAGAAGAAGCAACTAGTGCCTAAGCTGCATTTGAATCTCTAATCTATATTCTCTAGAGTGGTAGTCTTCAATCCCATGCCATGCTCAATTTCTCAAATTTTGGGGTTTCAAATGCTTAGCAATAGCGTCAAAGTTGATGCTTCTTGTTTGAAATATATTTTATCAAAATCTTGAAAAATGGTAGTGTAGTTTAAAACATATATAAATATGATCACATGATGGATTTTCAGTGTTTTGGTACCCACGTACTTCCTCAGGTAATGAAAGTTGCATCATAGTAAAAGTAAAACCAAGAATCATGGATCGGATGTTAGGTTGGATGATATGCGTTAGTTACTAATTTATTGTTTTTTTTTTTTTTTTGGATTTTGATAGTTTAATAATAAAAGATAGGAATATCTGATTTGGAGGATTTAAAAGATTTGCAGGAAATGTTGGTTTGTTTAAGGTGAATCTGTTTTTTTTTTTTTTTTGTGGTTATAGTTGTAGGAGGAGATTGCTATTAATTTTGTTGGGGATGCTTGTTTTGTTAAGAAATTTAGGGACTGAGAGGGAAGGGCAGGACTGTAATTTTTAATCAGACAATGGTTGGTTGTGTTTATGTTAATGTATTATTATAATGCTATATTGGAACCTAAGAGAGTTGTTGAATAGGAAACAGGGGATTTAAGACCAAGATGGTTGTTTTAAACTTTAAATATTGTTTAATGGTTTCATGCCTTCTATAAATCACACCCATCAACGTTACTTTGGATGCCCATTTAGGGTGAAATGTATCCTCTTATGGTTTCACGTCACTGCATTCTTCTTATTATTTTTTTTTTCGGTTTTTATAATATATAACTAATTATTATCCATACTAAAAATATTAAAATTTATGGTTTCTAATTCTCTTGAAATAGAACATAACATTGATACAAGTTCAAGGGTATCATCAGAAAATTTAGAAATGTCATAGTAATATTTTGGTTATTGGAGTAAAAATAAGATATTAATTTTCAAAAAATCTTAAGAATTTGATTGAGTAAACAAAAATAGACATGACACCGACTATATCTGCAATACCAGCCAAAAAGATTAAAGTTTTTGCGGGTATTTTGTTATTTTTTGTAAAAAAAATTTGATTGGAGATTAAACCGAAAAATAATCTAAAATTTTGAGATTTTATTGAAAATTTCTCTTGGATTTAATTGATGTTTAATAAAAACTAAAACAAAAAATGGAGAATTTCATTTATATGCTTGTAAACTTTTATTATTATGTCTTGTAAATGTAGTCTTATAAATCATATAAATATATACCTAAACACTTAATTTAATTATAAATAATCTATTATATAATTAAAAATATTATTTTGAAATTAGAGTATAACTAAATTACTAAAATACCTATTTGCAGGCATTCCCACAATCAATCCCTTTGTTGATAATATGGTTATTAATAACATGATAATGTTTTTTCTAATCGAATAAAAAAATGCAATTACCAGGTTTTGTTGATCAAATATGTAATCACAATGATTCGGTTTTACTAATTGGGTACACAATCACCAGGTCCTATTTAAACCGATCAAATATGTATGTAACACCCTGGTTCGAGTCGATTCATAATTTGGGGCTGTGACCCGAAGATTAAGTATCATAAGGCTTCGGGCTTTTAGGGAAAGAGAGGTTTAGACCCTTTTGGATGAGGGTAATGTAGATTATGCGATCCAAGAGTTCAGGTGTGCTTTTGAGCCCAAGGGTATAATGGTAAAAGATGATGGTTTAGGCCTCTTATGAATTGAGGAATTTAGTTCGAGATGTTTTTAGCAATCAGTAATTAGATAGAGTTGTAGAGCTCCTCAATACCTTTCTATGGATATAAGGATTGTCGAAAACGGAGTTGGAACGAAGAAGTTGTGACCGTTTGAAGTTATGAGGGTTTTGGGCTAAGCCAAGTACACTGGACGTACTGGGTTGGGATGATCTCGGAATGCCATTGAGTACGCTGGGTATACCTGGAGTACACTCAACGTACTCAAGTCAGATGCAAACCCTAATTTAAGGTCTTTGACCCTATTTAAAGACCTTAACTCATTTCCAACCTTTCTAATCTTCAGCCTTACTCCCCTCTAACCCTAAATTCGAAACCCTAGCCCCCATTTGAAAGAATTTTGAGCCTTGGAGTGATTTTGGTGGATTTTTGGTGCATTTGGAAGAAGAATAACACCTTGGTGAGAAGTGTTAGTTGTCTTGGAGTTTGGAGATCTAGTCCTTGTTCATCTTGATTTAGCTTTTGGAGGTATAAAGTTTTAACCTTGATGGCTTTCTCATGTAGATCTAGTTTGGATTATGGTTTTTCATGTTTTGGTCCTATGGTGGTGGTTCTTGTTAGTAGAAGTTACTCTAGGACCTTTGAGCCTCATATTTGGTCTTTGCTAAGGTCATTAAGTCATAAAAATCAGATCTTAATGAGTATAATCATTCCATATATTAATTGATAGTTTTTAGATGAAGTTTAAGACTTAGGGATTTGGTTTGGACCCCATTAAGCCATGTAAAGTCATAAAGTCAGGAACTTTATGACTTAAGACATCCCTTAGATGTTAGATCTGCGTTTAGACGTTTTGGTCTTAAGCATTAAGTCCGAAAAATGAGAAATGTTCACCAAAGGTGTATGTTGGGTGTATATATGCATACACTCAACGTAATGCATGCTTTCCCCGACTCCCCTCTAGGACGGGTTATACATTCGGCTTCAATAAGCATTATGCAGGGCGTACTTGCGGGGTTCCCTTTTTGGTTCTTCGGTCTTTTGGGATATTGGGCCATGAGTTGTTGGGTCAGTTATGAGAAGGGTAAAATAGTCTTTTATCCATTGGAATAATAAAAAATGAACCATACCATGGATTATGGAAATTGCCTTAATTATTGATTACAAATAATTTGGTTGTGTTTAATGCGAGGAACCCGGTAGCAGCAACACGTGTGTGTTCGGTTATCTCGGATTGATGTGAATCTCTACACTATACTAAGGGGTCAAAGGCACTAATGTCGACCCATAGAATTATGTTATGTAGAAAGACCAAGTGGTGACACCTGACAATTGCATGAAAGACCTGGATAAGGCTCCCGACAAAATTATATGCAAGACCAACATTTGGACCTTGGCAATTATATGTAGTATGTTAGTTGTCTTTGTGATACTTGCATGAAAGACCAGGATGTGGCTCTTGGCACTTGTCTATGAGACCAAGGGTTCGGCTCCCGGCTTAACAAGTAAAGACCATGATAAGGCTCATGGCATAATGACAATTATAAGACTATGGATGACACATCTCAATCTCTATTGTATGTATGGTATGTGGTATTTTGAGGAACTACTTAAGCTTTGTGCTTACGGTTTATGTTTGTGGTTTCAGGTACTTCCGGTTCGAAAAAGGAAGGGTCTGGCTTGATCATAACGCATCCACCCATGTTTCTGCATTTTATGATTTTGAGATTGTACTTTGATAATTCTTTTCATTTTGATGTGCTTTTGAATGGTTGAAAGGAATAAATAGTATTTATATGTTGAACTAAAAATGAAAATTTTACCTTATGGTTTTTGGGTTGTTACAATGCAATCACTAGGTTTTGCAACTACAATCAATTATAACTATGGAATCACCAATTTTGTTAATCGATTATGCATAATATGAAGTGACAAAGAATATGGGTGACAAATCAGGTAATTGTGTTGTGTTTTTGTCTAACATGACAAAGTTTTATGTAACACGAACACAAAAATGAACCGATTCGAAAACGAAAAACACGACAAGACATGACAAAGATAACATAAAATAACAATTGATTTATTTAATTAATATTTAATCATCCATAACAAGACAAACACGAAAAACACGACAAACAAATGTTAAATTGTGACAATTTCGTTTCGAATTTTAAACACGAATACGACATTGTGTTTTTTACACTTGACATGAACATGAATTCAAATTTTAATTTTGTCCTAATTTCGTTTCATGTCGTGTCTTTTGTCGTGCCATGTCATCAGTTATCATTCTAAAAAAGAATAAAAATTGTTAATAACCAAATTGGGACTAAGGATATTGATTATGGAAATGATTATAAATGGGTATTAATAATTTAGTTCTAATCTGATTCAAAGATAATGTTTTTAATTTTTAAAAAGATTAATTATCATTAAAAAGGATAAATCATTCTTTTTAATTTTTATATGGACTAAAACCACAATAAAATCTAAAAATAATGACCACTTTACAATTTTGAAATCACATGAACCACAGTGGCGGAAACAGGATCAAAGTAAAGTAGTATCTCAATTTTATATTTAGGGCAACCTAAATTTTTTTTCGGGGTACCTGGGTTCAGGGCCGGCTTAACCAGTTTGGGGGCTCTAAGCGACCAAAAATTTGGGACCATTTGATATTTACTATACTTAATGTTATAAACCCTCCTCCTTTATCCGGGCTTGGGACCAACAATAATAAACTAAAAAGTTTACAAATAGCGGAGTTAATTTTTTTTTATGTATATGTTTTTGTGAATATATTTTATGACATAAAGTTAATTTTTCTAGCTTTTTTAGATGCAAATTCTTTAATAAAATTAACATAATCAATTTCTTTTACTAAATGTTTTTCAATTGACAAAATATAATCCATTTAAAATTTCTTGTGACATTGTAGATCTTAAATAATTTTTTTCGTAGTTTTAATTTAGAAAAACTTCTTTCTGTAGAGGCAACGGTTACAAGAATGGTTAACATAATCCTATAGGCAACATATGCATTTGGAAAAGAACTAAACTTTTTAATGTAATTAAGTATATTAATAATTGTATCACGTTCTAAAAGTAAAATATGTCTTAAAAGTTTTAGTTCATGAAATAAATCTAAACCATCAATATCTAAGCTATCATAATGCTTTAAAGGTTTTTCAAGATTTAAACAATGTTCTTTAAAGTATTTTCATCAAATGATTTTAATTTTTTTATACTAGAAAACCAAAAAGATTTTTGAACTCGTTAAATTGCTCATTTTTAAGTGAAGTAATGCCTTATCTACAACGTATAAAAAGTAATTAGTTTTAAATAACTGAATATAAGTTTTAATAGTTTCATTAGCAACATTTTCATCATATTGTCTATTTCTTTGAATGATACGTTTTTCACGAAATTTAGGTTTTACATTCATTTTTAAAACCAATTCTTTTGCATAATCTAAAGCCTTTTCAAATCCGTTTTAATTTTTGGAGTTCTGAAGTTCATATGTAGCTAAACATTTAGCTTCACTTTTAATTTTTGGATCTCCACAACTTTTGGATAATTGTAAAAGTGTTTTTTCTTAATTGTGGTGCTTAAAATCTAATTGCTTTTACACTTTCTACCATACTTTCCTAACGAGTTCGTGGTAATG